GATGGACCCAAGGAGAATGCCAGAGGGCAAGAGTTCAGTCTGGTGTCTCCTGAAGCAGGTGAGCTACACCTGGACACGAAGGATCCCATCCATCCTTCAAGGGTGTTGCTGAGGCAGAAACGAGAAAACAAAACAAAACGGGGAGAAAGCACAATTCTCATGGAAGTTGGTTCCAGCTCGTTCCATAGAACCTGGCCTAACTTTATCTTCAAGAATATGACCTGACTTCACTTCCTACTCACAAGGTATCACCTTTGACATTTCTATTGGGGTCCAGTCAAAAGAAACAACGCGCCTGTGTTTCAAAGGTGGCAGCATGCTGAGGAAGGAGGGTAAAGTGTGCAAGGAATTGGATCCTCCAGGGCTCACGATGAGACCTTACAGAGAAAGGAGTCAGCCAAGGGAAAATGACTGGAGTGTGGAAGAGTTTGCAAGAGCCAGCTCAAGTCCACAAGGTCCAGTGAGTTCTCCAAACAAGACCTTGCGTCAGTTCTCCAATGCAAGACCCTGTGTGGTGAGGGTGAGCCATCTCAGCAGGCAGGTATACCTCCCTGCCCATGCCACTGCCAACACTTCCAGACCTTCTCTTCCCTTTTTCCCCAATCCCACCCAAAGCTCCAGTTCCAGTAAATGTGGGAGTGCAACGAATGCAGTTACCTGGGGTAATGACAGCAGCCTTGAACGTGGACTTAGAAGACCTGGCTTTAAATTCTGCCTCTGCACTCACTGGCTGTATGACCAAAGGCGATTTATCTCCCCCTCACTTTCCCCATTTGTGAAATGGGCTAAATAAGAGTCCTACAGGATTCACAAGGTTATGAGGTTGAAATATGATTGAGAGATGAGAATCCTTTTAACCTTCTCTGCAATACTAGTGATGATAATGATTAAAGTAACCTACTCGCAAGATAATGTGAATGGCCATTACCTGGCCTTTAATCCTTCAAGAAGTGTTTATTCTTTAAAAGCAAATGTTTGTCAAACCAAATGAATCCCCTTGGTGAACTACACAGAGAACATATTTTGGAGAGCGATGGTAGGCCACCTCCTCTGGCCCTTTCTAACTGAGGCTGGGGCTAGGATGGGAGGACCTTTTATTCTGACCTCGTTTTTGTTTCAAAGGGAAATGTGGTCTCTCTGAGGAAGGAGGGCAGACAGGCAGTATATCTTCTCACGTCTTTGTCCATCATTTTTATTAGTTCATGACTCACTTTTTAAAAAAAGAATATTTACTCTTAAATGACACACTTTCACACATGAAAGCATGCTTTCCTAAATGGCAGCCATTGGACCCCATGGTGTGGTCAGTGTGTTCAGTCTGAAAATTCTGTGGTGACACATCACTGTGGTCCCTTGGTGATGTACGTCTTCCTTCTTGTCTACTTAGCACCCTGTGAGCTGAGAGGTTCCAATCTGATAGCAGCTAAAAGCTTCAAACCTCCAGTCCTCCAAGCTGGGAAGCTGAATTGCTGCTCTAGAGCTGCATTTATATTGATTTTCTGAATGCTGTCACTGCAAATGAGCTAGTTAACTTTTCTCAAAATATTTTTCTCATCATTTTTACTTTCTCTAGTTGGACATAAGGAGTTATAAATGTACTTTCTGGTTTTGTGTTATGCCTTGATTTTTATTTTTCATGATTCTATCAAGTTGGCTGCCTCCAATATTTTCTCCATTTAGTAAAATGCACTACTTCCTGTATTCCTCGCTTCCCACCATCAGATATTCTCTCTCCTGGCCCACGCCTTGTGCCTGGCGCGGGAGCACTGGAGATGCCCTGCACCAGAAGTCCGTACCTTAATGTCTTCAAATAAATAAATGAATTTAAGGAAGAAAGTCTGAAATAAACTGGGGCCAAATTATACAGTAGCTTGTGTCACAACATTCTAATCAACGCTAGGGAATTTAGTAATGATCCCTACCTAAAGCCCTAAAAGAACGTTTCTTTGTTAATTTCTTAACCATCATGAGTTTTAGTGAAAATTACTACCTTCAATATAAGGCTACAAATAGATTAATTGCTAAGACTAAAAGGTTTGGTCTCTTTTCTTTTCTGTTTTTTTTTTTTTTTTTTTAATTAATAGTAAAATAGCAACTTTAAAAGGATCATTTTTTTAAAACAACAGTCTTTAAAAAAAAAAAAAGCTAAATGTCATAGTGCCCTAAATTCTTTTGTATTGGTGATTATGTTGTATGTCAAGAAACCATCCTGAGGTGATAATTAGATTTTATCTGCAAATGGAGGTGGGAGCATGAGAGTAGGTGGTAGTGTCAACATTTCACCAAAACAATAGACAATTCACACGATGAGGTAGGAAAAACATTACTCAAACAGATGGCTGGGGCTACTGGGTGATTAAGGAAATTTTGACACTATAATGATCTGGGGTGGGTGTCTATTTTATTTGCCTCTCTATGGCCAGACATTTAGGAAGGCAAATTGGGGCAAGAGGGAAAGCAGGAAAAAAATAGAATGATAACTAACATGTAAAATATCTGATGTTGATCATCATTGAAGTGAATAAAACAGACCATACAGAACCATTTTTTTTCCCACAAAACTTTTCAACAGATGGTTATACTAGTTGTTTCAGAATTAATACAAGGATTGCGGGCTGGAGGCGATGCATCTCAGAAGCAGTGCTGGTGTGTGAAAGGGACAAGGTTTTTGGCTCCAAGTAACACCTCCCAATTTGCACAGTAACCACAATAGAAATGTGCTTCAGGCAAGGTGGTGTCCTACATTTTAACTTACCCCTAAGAAAATATCCTGAATTTCACAGGTGTTCACAGTAATATGACCTGACTAAAAATAGCTTCTCTTCCGTATTTTTCCCCAGGTTAAAATTAAGCTCGGCAGGCTCGATGCAAACGTGCAGACAAAGCAAAGCAGGAAGCCTCCCACACTAAAAAGGGAAGATAAGAATCACAGAATCCGGGATGGTTTTTATTGAAGGGCATTTCAAAGCAAATACAGACATCTATAGCATATTTGTGAATCCTCCGTACGTGTATGGAAACACACACCTTCACACATCAAAACTGATTTGTTCCAGAGTAACAAAACGTCCTGAAAACAAAATGAAAGCAAATCGAAAAGCAGAAAAATACTTCCAACGTATACCACAAAGGATCATTTATTAACCTAAACCCACCAAGAGTTAAAAAAATTATTACAACAGAAACAAAGGGCAAAGGATATGTATTGGGAAGACCACAAAGGAAGAAACTGCAAATCGCTAATAATATAAATTATTTCCTAGGCTCAATAGTGACCAGGGAAAGACAAAATTACACTTTTGAGCTCTTAGACTGGCAGTGACAAAGATTATTTGAGTGACCAAACTATAGTCAAGCTCCTGGACCTTCTCCTAGGTCCATCTGGGTACTTCCTCATAAAATACAGTTTTAGCAAAACCCCTGTAAAATTGGTTTACCAAGAACTCACCCTCCATCGAGTTCCTTATTTTTTCACCTTTTCTCAGGTGAGGCCTGGCCACCCTGGCCTGTCTTCAGCAAGAGTGCCCTAACCCTGACGTTTCCTCTTAGTAATTTTCCATCCATTTATAATTTGTAGCCAGGGAGCAACATACATCACTCCTTGGCTGTAAATTATTTTCCCTGTGACATTCAGAGTTGAGCCCAATCTCTCTCTCCCACTGCAAAATCCCACGGCAGTGTTCCCTATACCTATTGCGATGGTCCTAAATAAAACCTGCCTTACAGTGCTTTAACAAATGTCATTGAATTATCTTTTAACAGCAAATTGTTGGAGGCAAATACATTTTTTAATGTTTTCAATTAGTTTAGCTAGACTTCCACATAATGTTAGAGTTTCCATCAATTTGCTAGTTACTGTCCCTTCCTAAGAAGAGGCATACACCATAGCCTGCATCATACTGTGGATTCACTCCTAAGTTGATATTGATATGAATGAAATAGTTATCTCTCGAACTTTGCTTTCTACATTTTTTTTGAGATGGAGCCTTGCTCTGTTGCCAGGCTTGAGTGCAGTGGTAAGATCTCAGCTCACTGCAACCTCCACCTCCTGGGTTCAAGCGATTCTCGTGTCTCAGCCTCCTGAGTAGCTGGGACTACAGGAGGGCGCCACCATGCCCAGCTATTTTTTTTGCATTTTTAGTAAAGACGGGTTTTCACCACATTGGACAGGATGCTCTCCATCTCTTGACCTCATGATCCGCCTGCCTCGGTCTCCCAAAGTGCTGGGATTACAGGCATGAGCCACCGTGCCCGGCCTGCTTTCTGCATTTTTATCAAAAAGCATTTGCAGGGACATGGATGAAGCTGGAAACGATCATTCTCAGAAAACTAACACTAAAACAGAAAACCAAACACTGCACGTCCTCATTCATGAGTGGGAGTTGAACAATGAGAACACATGGACACAGGGAGAGGACATCACACACTGGGGCCTGTCAGGGTGGTGGGGGGCTAGGGGAGGGAGAGCATTAGGAGAAATACCTAATGTAGATAATGGGGTGATGGACGCAGCAAGCCACCATGGCACTTGTATACCTATGTAACAAACCTGCATGATCTGCACATGTACCCCAGAACTTAAAGTATAATAATAAAAAGAGAAAAAACCATGATGTCCCCCTCCTAACCCCATTCCACCCTGCCTCACCACTGGATCCCCAGTCTCACTCAGAGAAAGTGTCAGTGTCATTGCAATAGTGTACAGGGGCCCAATCCGGGATTCTTTTTGTTCCTTGGAGCCTTTGCCCTTGCTCTTCTCTCTGCCTGGAAGGTTCTCCCCTTCACTTCTCTCAGGGCTTGCTTTGAATGTCACCTTCTCAGTGGGGCCTGCCTTGGTTGCCATACTTAAGGCTGCAGAATCCACACCTCCACCCCAGCATGCCCTGTCCCCTTCCTCCGCTTTGTAACCACCATCTAATATTGTTTATTTAGTTTGTGTCCTGTCTCTCTCTCCCAGCAAAGACTCTCTTCTTGGTCAAACTCCAGTCAGCTCCCCCGAGCCTTCTTCTCAACTAGGCCTCAACCTCAGCCTATAAAGAGTTGAATAAAACACAAATACAGTTTCTAATAGCTCAAGGCTGCATCTCTAGAATGACTTTAACCCCCCCTTTAAGTGTCTGCCTGAGAAAACTCAAAACTGTCCAAATAATTTATTGTGTGTTCATCTAACATCTGAAGATGGGGCTCCCGCTTCCAGCCTCTGTGGGAGGGTGGGAGCCTGACTTCCACAGGCGCCAGTTAACACACCCAGATGGTTTACGTGCACCAACTCCCCTCTTCCTGCTTTGTGTGATTTTTTCAGTTCCCTGACTTCACTGAACCTCTGCTCACCTCCCTTTCTACTCCTTCATTCTCTCTTTAAAATGCACAGTCACTTCTGTACAAATTGCTGTTGTTCAGTTCACACTGAACAGTCCTCTATCGCAACAGTCTATCATGGATTAAAATTGCTCCTTGCCATTTTATCTCTGATACCCTCACTACAATGCAGTCTCCAGGAACTGGATTTTTGTTTTCTCATGAGCACAAAATAGAGACTCAGTAAGTACTTGCTGAACCTTGTTGATGGGTCAACAGTGGTGCAGGGGTTTTAGCCCCTAAGCCACACTTCTGGGCTGGGATAAGCATGTTTAAGCATCTGGATGAAACATCATTGCTCATTTCACTCCTTAAATATGTGGCAAGTGACAGGCTGGACATCGGAGATCATGTCGGTCTTCCTAAAGGTTTCTTCAATTTGTTTGTTTGGTTTTGTTTTTTTTTTTTGAGATGGAGTCTTGCTCTGTTGCCCAGGCTGGAGTGCAGTGGCATGATCTCGGCTCACCACAACCTCTGCAATTCTTCAGCCTCAGCCTCCTGGGCACCAGGACTACAGGTACCTGCCACCATGCCTGGCTCATTTCTGGAGTTTTGGTAGAGACGGGGTTTCACCATGTTGGCCAGGCTGGTCTCAAACTTCTGACCTCAAGTGATCCACCTGTCTCAGCCTTCCAAAGTGCTGGGATTATAGGTCTGAGCCTCTGCATCTGGCCTTCAATTTGTTTTTAATTCTGATAGAGCACCATCTGCTACATGCTTAATATCAGCCATAAACAGACATAAATGAGCACAGATAGTATGTTAATGAAAGATTACTACCGGGTGAAGAGCATTTGCTTCACAGGAACTTTTCTTGTTGATTGTTGTTATTTCCCCACCTCTCGACCCTTTATTTCCATTTGCAGTCTTGGTCCTTAATCTTCCCTTCAACTCCAGCTCCCTCAGTGACTCTCTGGGTTTCCATTCTTAGAACTTCATCAAAAATGCTTTGGCTGTGAATTCCAGTGAGTTCCTTCAGATGCGATCTGAAGATGTCCTTACAGTTTTTATCTTTAGGTTCTCTTAGGTGATCTGGGGGCCATTAACCTCCCTCACTGCACTCTTTCTTCTAATTTTTTTTCCTCAGCTGTGGCTCCTTACCATTTTCAGTTGACTACAAATTTTCCCGAGTATAATCAGTTGCTTTCCAACAAATGCTTTCTAAGCAACTACTAGGGATGAGGCACCATTCCAATTATGAAAGTCTACTACTCAAAATGAACTCGAAGAGACGGAGACAGTCTATACTCACATGAAAAGTTAAAGTTTACTTTAACTGAACAAATTATTAAGCAAGCACTATGCAGTAAACTTTAACTTTTCATGTGAACAAAACTATGTAGGAAAATTCTGGTGATAGCCTAGGCAATAATAAATGGTCACATTATTAATTCAGCCAGCAAGTCAAAGGTCTCCGTTTAGAGCTGTCGCCACCCCATTATGACATTTCTCTCTTCTACAGGGTATTTTCAATGGGTATTATAGTATCGACCACAGATAACAAAATTACCATATCTTCTTATTGCAGCCTCAACCCTGTTTTCCAACAGCTTCATAATTATCATTGCCACCACCGACATTCTGATACTCAGGTGTATCTCGGCATTTCCGGTCTCCCTACAAAGAGATTCCTATGTTCAACCCACGGAGGCAGTAGTTTCCAAGGTCTCCCTTCCTTCCTCTTCCTGCCATCACAGCCCTGGTTTCGATGTCAAGAAACCCAGCTCATCTTGCTCAGCCTCACCTTTTTCCAGTCTACAAAAGGCATGACAGACACGGAGAAATGAAGAATTAAAAATGCTCCACAATTGTAACACTTTTCAAAAGTCCAAAGGAATCCACACTTGTCTGAGGTTTTACTTTCCACAGTGAAATAAGGTATTTTTGAGAATGGGAGAACACATTCATATGGTTTTTACACTATAGTTATTAGTTATTGCTGTCCTTACGTTACCTAATTTTAAAATTAAACTTTATCATAGGTATGTACACATAGGAAAAAGCACAGTGCATAGACAGGGTTCAGCAGGTGCCATCTGCAGGTTTCCAGCATCCCCTAGGGGTCTTGGAATAGGTCCCCTACAGGTAAGAAGGGACTGCTGTCTATGCAGCTTCTACTCTTGTGTTTTCATGTTTTGGGTAATGTCACCTTAAAGAACTGATTTGAGTTTTCAGTGAATAAAGTGTTGAGTTTTCAGTGAATAAAGTGTTTTAGTCTTTGGGGTTTTGTTTTTGTTTTTGTTTATTTGTTGGAGACAGGGTCTCACTTTGTCACCCAGGCTGGAGAGCAGTGGTGAGATTATGGCTCACTGTAGTCTCGACCTCCTGGGCTCAAGTGATCCTCCTGCCTCAGCTCCCCAAGTAGCTGGGAGTATAGACACATGCCACCATGCCCAGCTAATTTTTGTATTTTTTTCTAGAGATGAGGTTTCACCATGTTGCCCAGGCTGGTCTTGAACTCCTGGGCTCAAGCCATCTGCCCACCTTGGCCTCCTAAAGTGCTAGGATTACAGGCATGAGCTACTGCACCCAGCCCTAATCTTTGTTTGTTTTTTAATCTATTCCTGCCTCTTGAGTGTACAATCCTCTAGACACTAGATCCTAGAGGTTTTTCAGAGAAAGTCCCAGAAGCCAATTCATATGGACACACTTGAAGCAAAATATTTTGTGTAGGTAAAAGTTCTAAAGCCATGCTCTCTCCCACTCCAAACCTCCTGGGTTTTAACAAGATCCCCGGGTGATTCATACGTTAAAATCTGTACAAGAAAGTCTACATTAGATATGAGAAATGCTACATTAGATAATACGACTCTGTCACCTGAATCATATGTGAACTTGAGCGAAGCTCTGGTCAGCAGGCCATTGTGTTTGATTTCAGTAGTCCATGGGTGCATTGAAACATCACTGCATCTCCCACCTAGCAAAACATGGTAGCCTTGGTGCTTTCTGGTGTGGCTGACTGGGACTCTCAGTTTTCATCCTCTGTGGCATCTCTTTGTTGCCTATTGTCTATTAACAGTGCAGCAAGGTGATCATGGCTGAAAACCACAGCCTAGGAGTAAGAGCTTGCTTGGCGAGGCCGGGGACTGGCTGAATCATACCGAGACACCCCACCCCCACTCCTAGGCACTACTTTAACACAGGTGAGGGCCTGCAAACATGAACATCAAGGGAAGCCTTAGAAGAAGAAGGCTTAATGAGCAACTGTTAAAGTAGGCGTGTGCAGAAGAAGAGAGGAGTGGCAGCCAGGCAGCTCAGGAAGGGGAGGTGAAACAGAGACGTTTGCTTACAGATTTTAATGTATAAGGCTGGTTTTTCAGCATCAGAAATTGCAAAGCACCATCTCCTTCCATAGCTTCATAGCAGCTACTGAGCCCACCTAGCACATTCCTGGGCTTGGGCAAACATTCCCATCTTGTCATTGCCTGCGGCCAGCCTTCAGAGAATGTGTCAGCTGCCTAAGGAGCAGCCACCCCCATAAAAAAACAATAAATCCAGATCTGGATAATCACATGTGCCTCATGCCAACTCTAAACCCTTGATGAGAAATGTTTGATCAGATTAGGCCAAAGGAATGCCATCCCACACCCCAAACAGGCCCCTGAATCCAGGGTCACCCTTGGGGACGTAATCCCCAGAAAGCAAGGGTTTGAACTGGCCTCCCTACCATATTGTTCCATTTGGGAAGAGACTCAGGCCTATATGCCATGTGAGGCCTGTTATTAATCTTCCTGAAGGAATGAGGAGATCTGGTTCAATGACCACTGAGGGCCGCCTTGAAACCAAAGGGACCCAGACAGCTCTGTGGAAATGTGCACCCTACGGACTGGCGTGGTTACTGGGAGGAGATCAGGCACCATCAATTGGGGTGTTGGGGACAGAATGCCTGTTCTCATGATCAAGCCTTCTTCCCTGTACTCTTTATACTCCTCAAGCCACAGGTCCTCACCCCAGCCAATGATTGCCATGTCCTTCCTATTCTTACCTTGTTGTTTTCTAGGAACATGCTCTATTTTTGCTTGTTTCCCCACAACTCTAAAACACCCACGCTGCAATGAAACATACACTTTGTTACTTAAAAAAGTGTCCTTATTCCACATAGTTTTCTCATTCTACTCTTTTCCTTCTTTCTTACCTTAAAAGACATTAGGCTTTTCTCCGTGACACGTATGCTTCCCAGATGCCCTGGAATTCCCCAGACCCCTAGGACAAGGAGGTAATCAATGCTTTTATTGTGTTTTCGTAGTCTCCCACTTCCTTCCTTTCTTCCTTCTTTCCTTCCTTTCTTTCTCTTTCTTTCTTTCCTTCTTTCCTTCTCTCTCTTTCTTTCTTTCTTTTTTGAGATGGAGTCTCACTCTGTCACCCAGGCTGGAGTGCAGTGGTGCGATCTCAGCTCACTGCAATATCTGCCTCCTGGGTTCAAGGCATTCCCCTGCCTCAGCCTACCAAGTAGCTGGGACTACAGACATGTTCCACCACATCCGGCTAATTTGTGTATTTTTAGTAGAGACGGGGTTTCACAATGTTGGCCAGGCTGGTCTTGAATTCCTGACCTCAGGTGATCTACCCACCTGGGCCTCCCAAAGTGCTGCGATTACAGGTGTTGGCTACCATGCCTGGCCAGTCCCCTAGCTCTTACTGAGGAACTATGTTCTCCACACCTGCAAGAATACATCCCAGTGGCCTCTGTCCCACAAAATGGATATAGCTGGTATCAGGAATGGCTACCTGGCCCAGGCTGGTGTGTGGAATTGGGATCCAAGGGCACCTCACTCTGCTAGCTTTAACAGAAGACATGTACATTGGGGAACTCTGAGGAGAACATGTGCTCACAGTATCAGAGAAATCTGGGAGGGAGGGAAAGACAGAAGGGTGGATGGTTGGATGGATGAATGGAAAGACAGATTAGATAGGTAGTGTTATGGACTGAATGCTTGTATCCCTTCCAAATCCAAATGTTAGAACCCTGTCCCCTCACATGTTGGTATTATGAGGTGAGGTCTCTGGGAGGTAATAAGGATTAGATGAGGTCTTGAGGGTGGAATCTTCATGAATGAGATTAATGTCATTATAGGAGCCCCCAGAGAGCTTTCTTCCTTCCTCTGCCATGTGGGGACACAGCAAGAAGATGGCCAGCTATGAACCAGGAAGCAGGCCTTCACCAAACACTGAATCTGCCAGTGTCTTGTTCTTGAACTTCCAGCCTCCAGAACTGTGAGAAATAAATTTCCATCATTTATAAGTCAACCAGTGTATGACAGTTTGTTATAGTAGGCAAAAATAAGATAGGTTATATAAATGATGATGATGGTGATGAAGATAAATAGATGTTGGGTGATGAACTGATGGATGGATGGATAGATGATAGATATAGATAGATAGATAGATAGATGATAGAGATAGATAGATAGATAGATAGATAGATAGATAGATAGATAGATAGATAGATGATAGATAGAGCAAGCAAGCAAGAGAGAGACAGAGAGAGAGCTAGAGAGCAAGATCAATCTCTGGAAACAAAAAGAGACTGCCCTCCTTGACCACAAACAGTGTATCAATGTATCAGTTACTGGCTGCAAGCCCTCATGAAGCCGCACTCTCCTTCCTGGTTAATGGCTGCTCTTGTTAACAAACACGCAAAGGAACCTCTCTTGCTTCACTCAAAGAAGAAAGTCTCTATTGCTAAATACGGAAATTTGTTCATTTTGATCAAATCCTTGCTATTACCTAATAATCCTCTCATTCATATATGATTGAGTCCCTTCTACAAATGTCACAGTTACTGTTTCAAAGCCTCTTTCCTTTCTCTATCTCACAGTCACTATGTGAACAGTTTCAACTGATCTGCTTGGTTAGCACATATTACCTTGTGTGATTATGTATTTTGGAGGTATGCAGTGTTACTATAAAGTAATGTGAATGACTCAGCTGTCCAAATCATTGTTATTCCACCAATCTAATCATGCCGGGAGACAATAAATGTATTCCTGCAATGTGGCCTCTGTTCCTGCCATTTATGGAACACTTTTTCAAATCTTCCTCAGTGACAGTACACATCTATGTCACTCAAAGGTAGATATGATTTTTAGAAAGAGCTACATTTGAGCTGTAATCAGGGCAAGAGGATAAAAACAGGGTCACATATTTTAGTCACAAAACTTGTTGAACACTGTTTTGCCCAATAAGATTACAATGGAAATGAGTATAAACTCTTCCAATATGACAACTCTAAAAGATAACACTCATTTGAAGACATAAATTCTATTACATTTACTAACCATAAGCCACATAGGATCTCACTTTGTCACCCAGGCTGGAGGGCAGTGGCACAATCACAGCTCACCGCAACCTCAAACTCCCAGGCTCAAGCCATCTTTCCACTTCAGTCTCCTGAGTAGCTGGGACCACAGATGCACACCAGTTTGCCTGGCTCATTTTTTAATTTTTGTAGAGACAGGGTCTCACTATGTTGCCCAGGCTGGTGTCAAGCTCCGGGGCTCAAGCAATCCTTCTGCCTCCACCTCCAAAGTGTTGGGATTTCATGTGTGAGCCATTGTGCCCAGCCTAAGTCACATTCTTTATCACTATCACATCTTCCTGTCCTGTAGGCCAAACCTCTGGAGCAGAAATCAAAGATTTATAATGCCCCGTAGTTTGAGGAAAAGGGGCTTAATATGTTTGTTCTTGATATTTAGGCTACTTGAAGATTATTTAACAGAAATTATACCTCCAAAGAAGATAAGCCAAACATTCAGGTGGGTTAAAATATATATAACACAAAAAAGAAGATTAGAAATCAACTTTGATGATTTGATTCACGACCATTACTTATTATGTCACACGCTTACAGTATGTGAGCTGTGGACCCCAAATCAAAGCATTGTACCTCTGATATTCTTGCCCTAGCCACGGTCCAAAGTTCTAGAGAGAGATAATAGACTTCTTTTTTTAAGGTGCATGTTTCTTCCTGTTATGTGGGATAAGCAGTAGCTACTCTTTCTCAAGGCTTCACAGAAGTATCAAGAAACTGCAAAGTAAGAGATATAAATGTCAAATTTTAGCCAATAGGTCACAAAATAAGTTAGAGCTCAGAAATCATTCTAAGGCAAGCTGGTGCAACCTACTTCTTTGTGCAAATTTCAGCAAGTGTGATCAAAGATAATGAGTCACTCAGCATGGTATTTTAAAAACACTAAAGCCGCTTCAGTGTGTTTTCCTGAGTTTCACTGTAACTGAAACTATACTTGTACCTTGAGACAAGATATGGTCCTTGGACATGAATTAAACACATGACTCCAAAACTGAGTTGTTTTAGATTAAAAGAATATATCTAGGTGTTGATCACTGAAATGTGTTAGCCTGAAAACACTGGCAGAACCCCTTTACAAGTCAAATTTCTTCTTTCTGCTAGAAATGTGGTGTTGAATGCAACTTTAAATAGACAATTGACTGGGGCTTTAAAAAGACTTTTGGATAGAAAGTGATATTTATTCTGATGATCTTTTTCACAGTGCAGAGTAAAATGTAATGCAATTTTCCCTCTGTTGGTGGCGATAAACATGAGTTCTTTCAATGAGGGGTGATAGATATGCTTGGGGTAGTGTGGGGCAAAAAATGAGTGTGAGCGTTGAAGTCATGAGGATTTGAGTCTTGGTTCTATTCCTTCCCTGCTGGCTGTGGGATGTGGATGGGTTACTCCACCCTTCTGAAACCAGATTCCTTATCTCAGAAAAGGAGCTGATACGCTGTTCTCTCACAGCGTATCGTGTAGGTAAATAATACAGGATTGGACTAGCATAAGTGCAGTTCTTTCCGCCTTCGTTTGCCTACATTCTTGCATCCAAGACCCAGCACCAGCATTCCCAAGAATCCGTGGAGTCCCTGTAACTTGACTTCCATCACCGCTAGCCTCAGGCTGAAGTGACACCCATGACTTCCTTTTCACTCTTGACTTCTATAGGTGTTGCCAAGTGAGGTTTACACACTACCCCCAAGGAAGTTCTAATGATCTCATGGGTGGCTGTATAAAAAACAAAACAAACCAGGTGCAGTGGCTCATGCCTGTAATCCCAGCACTTTGGTAGCCCGAGGTGGGTGGCTCACTTGAGGTCAGGAGTTTGAGACCAACCTGGCCAACATGGTGAAACCCCATCTCTACCAAAAAATATAAAAATTAGCCAGGCATGATGGCACATGCTGTAGTCCCAGCTACTCAGGAGGCTGAGGTAGGAGAATCACTTGAACCTGGGAGGCAGGGGTTGTGGTGAGCTGAGAGGGCACCACTGCACTCCAGCCTGGGTGACAGAGTGAGACCCCATCTCAAATAAGAAAAAACTCAAAATCTCTCATTATTTTAAAATTTAAAAACATTTAGAAATCCCCATTTTTACCCAATCTTCTATTTGCACATTTAAAATAATCACTTTAGGCTAGTTTTTGATTTATAGATACTTAATGTCAAAAGAACTATTTTTTTAGGTAATTCATGCGTTAATTCCAGAAGTATCTACTGAGCACCTATTATGTGCCAGGCTCTGTAGTAGGTGCTGAGAATGCAAAAATAAATGAAATATGCATTCTGTCTGCAATGATTTTACAGTGTAGGGAAGGAGACAAATCCATTATTTTAATATAGCACAGGAAGTCTTACAATGGAAGCATGCAAAGGTGCCACCATTGACACAGCACTTTAAAGTTCAAAAGCCCTTTTCATACATTTTAGACTCACAATAATCCTATGAGCTCTGTGTTACTGTTACTAACCATTTCCAGGTCAGATATAAGGAAACCTATCATAGGGACGTGACTTAAACCTAGCATAGGCAGGTGACAGGTATCAATCTGTCCTGGCTAAGATTACACAGATAATAACCAGATTCTGTATATGGGAGGAAAAGGTGTGATGCCTTTACTCACCCATCATAGGGGTCATGGCAACACTCTTATAACACAAGACAGGTTCAAGAGAAAAGTCTAACAAACTTCTTGAATCAAAGTTTTATTTAACATAGAAACCTTCAGAAATGAAGACCCAAAGACCAAAGGAAACTGTCTATTTTTATGCTGAGTTTTGATGAAGAGACAGTCATGGAGAAATGTGATTGACCTAATTGTCATAGCATGAGTGGGGAAATTCAGCAAGGCCTGTCTCTGCAGATTCTTCTTGGCATCTCTGTGGCACTCCCTCCCTTCCCTTCTCTTTCCTTCCCTTCCCTTTTCCTTCCCTTTCTTTCCTTTTTCTTTCCCTTTTCCTTCCCTTTCCCTTCCCTTCCTTTTCCTTCCTTTCCCTTCCCTTTTTCTTCCCTTCCCTTTTCCTTCCCTTCCCTTCTCCTTCCTCCTCCCTCTTTCCTTCCTTCCTTCTTTCCTTTTTTCCTTCCCTCCCTCCTTCCTTCCTTCTTTCCTTTTTTCCCTCCCTCCCTCCTTCCTTCCTTCTTCCTTCCCTCCCCCTCCCTCTTTCCCTCCTGGGATGAAGGTCTTATGACCTACTATCACACAAAGCAGGCCGAAGAATTTCTCTATGACTAGCTTTTACACAGAAAGGCAGGACAAGATTAGAGTAGCATTCCTGGTTTCTACAACCCACCTTGGGGAAGAAGAATCCCAGTCTCTGTGGCCTGCCTTTGGGGAGACAGGGGAATAGAAGATAAGAGGTCAAGAGAAGGTCAGAAAGCGGCTTTACTTATGAGGCCCTTCCAGTGTCCTTCAGTTAGAAATACTCAGCACCTGAAAGCACCGTGCTTTGGGGTATTGTTTTCTGAGCCCTGGCAGTCCCAATCTCAGTTGTCTGTGCTCTTTCTACCATTGCCTCTGTCTCAGTGTCCATGTCAGAATATATTCAGAATAGATCCCTATCAAACTTGCAAATACCTTACAAATGTCAACTAAATTGTGTCTCCCAGGAAAAAAGCAGACACAGCAAGCTCCCAAACTCAGTCTTTGCCCAGTTCTTTAGTCTCCCTTCTCTCCCCTCTCCCAAAAGAACCCACTCAGAGCCAAAAGCAACTGCTGAGTGTTTTCGGATTATGGCAGGTTGTTTCAGGGCTTTGCATGTACTGTTTCCCATCCCCAAACAGTCTTCCTCCCCGACCCAGTTCCATCTTTCAGTTCCTCCTTTCACATGGAGATAGGTTTCACCTCTTTCCAGAGGACTTTTCTCTCCTAAGCCATTCCCTACAGCTGATCCTCCTACAGCTGATCAGATTCCTAGCTGATTC